AAAAATTTTAAAAATATTACTGTAAAACCCAACAAAGTATATTTATTTCTTAATATGTTTCCATGTAGGCACAAGGGAAAATATCACAATTTTTTAAATAGTGATTTTTGATGTGAATGGGGTTACAGAGATTATATCAAGTATAACTAAAGATAGTAAGAGTACAATAGAAGAACAGAGAATAAACTTAAGTTAATCTCTGAAAATATACATATTTATATCCTAAATGTATTACCTTAAAAAATTCTTGAGAACATGAGAATATACAGACATGCGTTCCATTGCATGTCAGAGCAATAACATCATCACACATTATGTAGCCTCTGAATGATCCATAACATCGAGAAGGAGGGAATCCTCCTCAGCTCATTCTACAAAGCCAGTGTCACCTTGATACCAAAGCCTAGAAGGACACAACAGAGAAAGAAAACTACAGACCAATACACCTTATGAAAATAGATGGAAAAATCCTTAATAAAATAGCAGCAAACTGAATTCAACAGCACTTCAAAAAAGAGAGTGAGAGAGAAAAAAGGTAAATGCCATCTAAGTATTTTTATGAAAATAGTTTTGACCTCACAGAACCCCTAAAAGGGTCTCAGTTCTCTCCTCTCCTGCCTACCCTGAAAGGGTTCTATGAACTCCACTTTGAGAATTGCTGCATAGTAACAAGATTCCAAGTTAGGAGTTACTTTCTCTGCGGTATTTTAAAGCACTGTTTCTTTCTTCATGGGAAGTCTACTGTGGCGTAGTAATTTCCAGATTCCACTCAGTCTTAGATAAGTCTCAAAGCATTCATGATTCTGAATTCAAGGCTGATACGATTTTAAATGATATTTGTTACTTTTGAGCCTTAAATTTGTTAAAACTACTATGGTTTAAAAATATGTTGTTAATATTGTTTATCTCTTTCAATTCTTTATTATTTACATACTTTTAGAGAGAAATTTGAGAATTGTTACATATATAGACCCTTTACTAAAGAGTGCATTTCTGAAAACATAACTACAATGCCATTATTACATCTTAAAACTGACACTAGTTCCTTATCATCTTCACATATCTAGTCAGGAATTAAATTCTCCTGATTGCTTCACTATTTTTCTTACAATTCAAAATCCACATATTGCATTTGGTGGATAGGTTCTTTTAAGTCTCTTTCAATCTGTAGGTTCCTAATCCTTCTTTGTTTTCATTTTGCAAATTATTTGTTGAAATAATAGAGTTGTGATAAGGCATCGTGGCATATGCCTGTAATCCCAGCTATTTGGGAAGCTGAGGTGGGAAGATCATTTGAGCCTAGGAGTTTGATGTTGCAGTGAGCTGTGTTTGCACAACTGCGCTCCAGCCTGGGTGACAGCACGAGACCTTATCCCTAAAAAAAATAAAAAATAATAGCGTTGTTTTCCTCCACTCTCAGATTGTACAGCATTCCAACCATCTTGAGTGTAATAAAGGGTGCATGCCTCCCCCTTCCCCTAAAGGTTTAAGTCACTCCCTTAATCATATATCAATTTCTATATGCAATTGGGCCTATTTTATTATTTTCCATTCTGGTTCTTTGGCTTAATATGTATTCATGCACTAGTATCATTTTGTTTTAGTGGTAGAATCTAATATGCTTATTATAAAATAGGACTAGTTTCCTCTCATTTCTTTTTCAGGGTTTTGTTTTGTTTTGGTTTTTGCATGGTAAGTATATAGACTAACTTAGGGAGAGCTGGCATCTTTATGACATTAAAGCTTTCTATCCACCCGTCCAAGAACACAGGTCTATTTGTTTAAGTTTACTTTTGTGATCTGAAAGGAGTGTTTTATATATTTTTCACACATAGGTTTTATGCATTTCTTATTCCTAAGCATTTGTTATATTTTTGTTTTGAATTATTTGGCTGTCATAAATGGTTCTTCTTCTTCAACTCCAAATGAATTTGTATTATATCATTGCATTTGGAAAATGAAAAAGCTCAAAACCGCTGTTACTCTTACAATTAGTTAGTACAGAGGAAGTGGTTCCCAGTAGAGTATTTCCATTTTTGATGTATCTCTTAAAAATTAGAATATTTTAATTTAGTTTTATATGAAAGGCTAAAATCCAGGACTTTGTTAAAGTAAGATTTAGAAAGTTATCATTTGGTGTTTTGAAGAAAGGTCAAAACATAATTTTCATAGTTAAAAAATAAAAAGTCCTATTTTCTACCTACTCCACACCCTCTGTCAAAATTCACTCCATAAGTAAAGTGAATTTCCTGAGGAGTCTGGCCAGTTATCTTTGTCATTTATGTGAGGATTGGGTAATAACCAATATGAAAGTTTATATAATGTGCTAAGTGTGCTTCACACACGTGCGCCCTTTACACCATTTAGCCGAGCACGCCCTTCAGATTCTCACGGCTTACCCCACCAACTTTCATTTTTAACTCTCCACAGCAATTTCTCAAAATATTTACTTTTAAGTACAATGCTCTTTGCCTTTCACCATGGTACTCCATTTCTGATTTATCTAGGAATATATTTCACAGACGAATATGGTCTTAGCAGCCTGTGTCCAGTCTTAACTTTATCAAC